AGGTTGTGGAGTCTCCTTCTCCGGAGACATTGAAGACCCGCCTGGACACATTCCTCTGCAACCTAGTCTAGGTGATCCTGCTCTGGCAGGAGGGTTGGACTGGATGATTTTTCGAGGTCCCTTCCAACTCCTAATATCCTGTGATTCCTATACAGTAAGGAACTCCTTTCACTAAACACAGTCTTTCCATACACTTTGTTCTGTATACACCCATTCACCTCACATATCTGAAACAAAGAAATTATCAAATTGTACTCATAATACATACACGGACATTTGTTAAACTTTATAATCAATTATGAAACAGAATGAATTTTAGGAGAAACATACCGACTTGCACAAGTTACTAGTGCTTTAGCGATCAACCTAATGTTCCCTTTTGAATTTAGAAAACAAAGAAATGAGATTGCCTTCTATTTCCCTCTCTAAGTTCCAATACCCTAAACTCTTACTTCAAATGAAGAACGCAGAGCCCTGAAAAGTAAAATTCACACATTCAATTTCCAAAAGAGATGTGTGAAAAGTACAATTAAAAGATGTACCTGTGCAACTTTTTGCAAGAGCAATTTTTTCATCCATCTCTGATCTTTCAGAAGGGCCTGCTTGGGAACAAAGAAAACAGCTTTTAAACTGTGTCTCACAACAAACACATTTTCCCAGTCCATAGAGGAAACTGCCAAATAACTCTTAACTTCATATATCATGTACTCATTTCATAGTTTCTGTAATGTCAAACTTAGGAAAGACCATGTACGGTATTAAAAATATATAAATCCTTACTCATCCAGTTAAACACAATAAAAATGTTGAAGTGCTAATTGTAGGGGTGTGCATTTCTTTGGATTACTGAAGTCAGAGACTCATGCAAGACAGTAGGTTTTTTTGGTGTTAATAAATGACTTTTAAAATATGAAATGTTGATGGTTCTGCCTTTTTCCAATGAATTATCAGTTAAATCTTTTTCTTGTTTGTTAAAATTTGTATTCCCAGAGAATTCTTCCTGACTATAAAATTTCTAAGTACATTAAATAGACAAATTCAGAGGGATTAAAATAATTTACGACACTTCAAGGGTGTTTGCTTTTCATCATAACAGCTCTTTCGATGGCTATATAGAGACTGCTTTAAAAAGGCTGTTGCAGAAAGCAACACAGAAATTACACTAAAGATTAAATTAACACTCCTAAAATCCTACTGCTTAAAGCTTTGGCACTCCTGCAGCTACACGGACAGAGTGAACTGCTAACAGCACAAACGGCTTCACACTGAGCAAGCGATCATTGAATACACCTCAGAAATAGAAAGATATATATACAAAAGTAGCTTATGTGTGGCATACAGGGAAGTATAGGGCCAACTGGAACTGAAGGACTTGGACTAATTGTTCTACGTAAATCAAGTAATTCCTGTGTTCATCTGCAAAAGCAATCTGCAGAAGATCATACTGAAATATTTTAAACTCATTATTTTATACACACCATAAGTAAAAGATGATAGAAAAGACTGTTGTCACAGTCTTACGAGTGTGAGACTTAGTGAGTATTTCAGTGAATTGAAAGTACCTACACAGTATCAAACACTACGAGTTATTCAAGGAAATTAATATTTAGGGATTAAATTTTTTTAAAAGAAATCAAGATTATTAGGTGGTTACAACATCTGCTTGAAACAGTTCTGTCTAATTTGATTGCTCAGATTTTCAAAGGGATTTTAAATTAACAGGATTTCAAGTGAGGAACCTATACAAGGATCTTTGTTTTACATGCATTCCTTTCAGTAAGTGCTGCTTTTACCCGCTTCTGCCACTTTTTCTTTGCTGGAGGGTATTTAAGGTTTTTTTCTATTTGTCTCTAACTCAGAGGAGCTCCCCAGTTTGGTTCAAAACATCTCCAGAAAGAATGGTACTGGCACAGCTGAGACCAAAGTCCAGAGACGGGAAAAAGCGGGGAGAGGAAGGCAGAGGCACTGGTGATGCTCCAGGCCACGCAAGAAGAAATTCTCATCCAAACACTGTGATTTGCAACCCTTACGGGCAAGTGGGACTTGAACACACCCTTCCTGGGTGTACTGGAAAATGCCTCTGTGGAGTAAGTTTGCTTTTATGTAAATGAGCATATTCAGTGTATGCAGCTAGACAGGAGTGTAATTTCCTAAGAACTCTTCAGAACATGCAATTATAACTCACAACACACTGACAGGCAGTTGTTTACTCATTCTAAGTGGCTTATAAGCTAAATCGGTCAGTTCATTAGACAGCAGTTTATAAGCTGAATCAGCCAATTCACAGGACACAATGCTTACAGCCCTTCCCTTCTGCTTCCAGTTCTTTTTTCTAACTTTGAGGTGGCACTGGCAACTAAAGACTCCCATTCACACAATTCAGAGGATAATATGGCTCTTTTGGGAAATGTTTGGTCCTTTGTCAGCAAGCACTCAGTTCTGTGTGGGCTAGGCGTCCAAAAAGCCTTGTACTACTCTGCGCTGAAGAAGACTGAAGATGGTACATACCCCCAAAGAACTTAACATATTCCTGCTTCCTTGTAAATTGGGCAACTAGTAAAAAAAGCATAGCTCTTCATTCTGTTCTCTTCATCGATTCAGAGCTGCTCTCATTCTGGCACTGACGGTATCTTGACCTCATTTTTTCTTGTAGACAGCCTTCTAGTAAGAAGCCAAGATGCGTGTCTGTTACTGTCCAGTACATTCATGCATCAGCTGAACAGTCCTCTGAATGCAAGGAAACTACTAGAGGAGCTAGGAGGATTTACAGGCAGAGATGTATTCGCATTAACACAGTACATACCACACATCCTCCTACTTGGCTTTAGGATCAGGCCTTGCACATACCCAGCTGGTCTGGAGCTTGGGCAGAAACAAATGCCAGTCCCTCTGCAACAGCCACAGAAACAGCTCCACTCCCACAGCACAGTAATATGCTTAATCTAAAAGTACCAACCACCGTTCAAGGACTAAACCACATTTCAAGACACAGCATTTTCACTAACATGTCTTTTATATTAACTGTGATAGTTGGAATGCTCAAGCATGCATTATTTAGTCCTGCAGATCTGTGTTCAGCTCTTTTCCTCATTTAGTCAACAAAATCTGGACTTTTCTTCCAGAACAGTTTGTCTTTGGTATCACCCAAAGCACATAATACTGCAGTGACCTTCACATTTGTCCAGGATACTGGAAAAAAAATCCACTGCCATACTGCTAGTGCCCACTGATAGAAAATTGCCCCTAATACTCAGTCAATACACGCACATTAGGTTTCTGATGGCTAAAGCCCCTATTTACCAGTCTTCTTACTGTCTACTGCTAAAACACTTCCAAATTTAGTAACTCAGTATTAACTCATGGTAACATCCAAATGTTGTAACCTACTACAAGATAAGAGATGAAAAGGACACCCACCTACAGGGATAATTTCCCCTGTTTGATGAACAGGAGAATTTCATACACCACCAAGACACACAGTCAGCATTTCAGATTTGTGAGAGGAAGCAAACGCTCAGAGAAAAACAATAACTGAAATTTCATCTATAAATCATTTTCTCAAGGAACCCCCCTGCACATTGGTGTTCTTTAACACTTAAGTTGTTTCTTCTCATAATTCAGAAAGCCCAGCGTTTGCTGTAGGATACTTTTAGTAAGAACTATGACCCTAGCCATTTTTTTTTTCATTTTGCAGCATTTCTCCACAAAGGCAATGCTTGGGCAGACTTGTGTCATCCCTCAGGAGCACACCTCAGGACAACTGTACTTTTCTAAGGTTCAATACTCAGCACAGCACCACGATGCATGTACATGTACCCCTGTATGCCTCTTGAATTTATAGCTCTCTGCACTTTGTACAACCTTTGGCTTGAATCGGAGTGGCAGCAACTCAAAGGGGAAGCTGCTTTACTCCGGGGAAGGCAGCATGGCTGCACTATAACAGGTTACTATTTTGTAAGGTAGCGATTTCAGTAGCAACTCTCTTCAAACGGCACTGGATTACACTTTGGGCTATTGGCCAAATTCTGACATTATTTTTATGCATGAAATACAAAGCCACGAGGGGCTGAAGAGCAAGAAGATGACAAGATTTGGCTTTGGCAGGAACAGTGAGTAGGTTGTCTCCAAAAAAGTATCTATTTTTACTATATTATATCATGCCTACAAAGCCCCCCATCCCCTGGGGCTAGGCACTGTACAAATATGAAGAAAAGATAATCCTAACACTAGAGAATTCACCTTTCCAATTCTGAACTCAAGTGGTGACATTTTACCATGCTGCACGGTTAAAATCTCACTGAACAGTGCTCGTACACTACTTGACATGTACACTACATGACACTATGAGAATATTGATTCTGCAATCCTGTAGTTAGTTACTAAAGCATATTAGAAAATAACCCCCAGAACCTTTGTGTCTAAACAGGCACAAACAAGTTATCTCAATAACATACAATATTACAAAATGGAAGGGTGTGTTGTTTTGCACTTCATCTTTGAACATGCAGCTATCACTCAGAGGTGTGTGGCAGCTTGCCGCTGTTCCTTTGCATTGCTCAATTAACTTGATGACAAACACAAACAGGCTGAAATAAGAAATTTAGAGTTCCAGTTATTTTATATTGCCATGTATAATCACGCCCTCTTAATTACTGTTCATTTCAACACACAGACATAACGTTTTCCTTTTCCACTCCTAGTTGAGGCTAACATGCAGCATTAACTGGATGTGTAGAGATGAGGCAAAGCAACTGAGAAACACCTTAAAACATACACAGAGCCCGAGTCACAGACCTCACAAATGCTGTTATGCTTTGTTTATATAAATAAACCTTTTAATACAATTCAGACATATATTGGTCATCCCAAAAAGGAAATGTGATTGATACACTATATAAGTTACTTGAAAAAAAAATCACGCAATGCTCTAAGCAGCATCATTATTATGGTTTATTTCAAGTTTAAAGAGGTCACTGCAATTAGAGTCTGCACACTGGACTCACAGGAAAAGAAACCCAAGCAGTTCAAAATACTTCTGGAATTTCTCCTTCAGCCCAAACACAGGCACATGGGTCAGCTGAAGCTGTACTTCAGCTCTTCTGGTTTTCTTCAGAAAAAATGAAATGATAACCAGCCTGGAAATGTTGTTTCCTCACAGAGCTAAGTAATTGCATGTTTAATGACCAAGAATAAGTAGAGAAAGGCACAAAGTTCCACAGGTGAGCAATCAACCTTTCAATGAAATAAACACATATCAAGGCTTGTATCATTACCTGGAATGTTATATTGATAGTAGTCAGCATCATCTGATTCCTCCTTCACTTTTACTGTTGTCATTTCCAAAGAAGTTCCTGTAGAAGCAACAAAAGAATCAAATATGGAAACTAATAATTACTAGATTCTTAAAAAAAAAGAAAAGCAAAACCAAATAAAACACCCAAGATCCTAGCTGGTCTCTATTTTAAGAAGTTTCAGTTTGGTCACCATCAGAAGGGATTCAAGATTAAATGCTTCCCCACAAAACTAGGCAATTTTGCAAATGCTGTTTCAGATCTGAAGACTTACAATAAAGGGTCTCTTTCCTTTTTGCCAACTACCACAGCCAAAAAAAAAAACAACCAAAAAAAAAACCCCAAAACAAACAAACAAAACATATTTTATCACTCATTGTGCTGAAAGTACTTCTAGACCTACTCCTGCTCACTCCTCTGTACAGCCAAGTTGAGATACAGTCTGCATCAAACTGTGCTGCTGATGGAGCAACACCAAAGGTGCTCAACTGCTCTTGGCTTCCTTCAAGTGAAATATCCTTGCCATAAGCCTTCTCAGCATTCCCT